CTTCTCATCCAAACACAATTAAATTCACTCTATAGGAGACACAGTTTATCAGGAGAGGAGTTTTATAAGTAACAACAACTTTCTACTTCTTACCTTTTTAAAAATGTAGTGAGTAGAAAGTACAGGTAATTGTGTAAAAATGTAATGAATAAAAGTAAAAAGTACACTGAAAAATAACTACTCAAGTGAAGTAGAGATAAACAAAGTTTCTCCTTAAGTACAGCAACAAAGTATTTGTACTTAGTTACTTTCCAGCTCTGGCTGTTAGACTAATCAGTGTGAGTGGGGGGCATCACTGAGACCCTGAAGGAAGAAGCAGGTAAAGAAATGAAGTCAGTGATATTTATTYTGTYGGACTGATGTACACAATAAAACCGTGTATTTATTTTTCTGTGTACTTTGGTTCATTGTTGTGTTTGAGACCTGAGCAGGCCTTTCACCTCACTGTTTCCTTGATGTGTTTCACTACGACAGGTGCTCCTGTCTGAAGRGATCACTTCAGTATATTTAGATGGTGAAACCTGAGAGCGATGGCCTGTGATTGGCTGCGCCGCCCACATGATAACCTGGCTAGAAAGTGCAGCTGTGCGCTGTCGCCCAGCGTTTCTCTGGAGGGAGGCTGGGAAGGCTTTGGCGGCTTGGGACACCATTAAACTGGAACTCAACTGGTAAGCAAAGGAAGGGATTAAAACCCACAATTATACATGTTTTTATTTATTTTTCTACACCATGCATGGCTTTGTGGGACACCTGGCTCCATCCTGTGCTGCCTGCTGGATGGAGGAGAAGTTGTCTGAGGAGGAACAGGAACTTTTTGTTACATTTTAAAGGAGTAACCAAAGCAGAAGTTGAAGACCAGAAACCAGTTTTGGGTTTATCTGATCTCCAGCTGCAGTCTTTGATTTCATTTAAACTCTCAGCATCCGTCTGACTTTATTTTCTTTCTGCGTCAACTTTTTCTGCACGTTCCTCTTGTTTTACGGGTTTTATTTGAATTTAAAGAGAGCACAACCAGGTGCTAAAAAAGGTAGTTAGTAAGCCATCCTATATTTAACCTGCAGCCTCAGAAGGCATTGCATGTCCATTTGCTAAACACAGTCAGCCAATCAGGCTGTGGCATTGGCTTACATGTCACATAGCAGAGGCAGAGTGGGCCAGCTGTCGCCAAGCTTCACCGCAGAGCTGCAGCTCGCTCAGCTGGCCTGTGCCTTTGGTTMTTTTATTTTTTATTTTGTTATTTCTGGGGTGGGGGTCCTGTATCACASTCAGAGGCACCGGCCCGTTATAACACACCACAGGTCCTAACTGACACGTCTCATTGTGCTCACGCTGATTTGTGTGGTTGTGTTTAGGGAGTGTGACAAATCACAAAGTTGGAGTCAGACTGAGGCCCCTGTGGATGGCAAGTGAGACCTTCCTGTCAGGAAACACAGCAGGGATCATTTTCTGGTAGGACAGACACATCAGTGCGTTACATTTTCACCTTTTACCAGATAAATGAAGAGTGGGACGAACAAAGATTACTGTTCGCTGAAAGGCTCACCTGTGTGAGCCGCTCATTAAAATAACGCTGGTTTTTAAGAACTTTTTTCTTCTCATTAATTCTGCTTTTTAATTATTTTTAGAACGAATGTCTAAAAACGTAATGTTTCTTATTTGTGTAGAGATTTTAAATCAGTGCCGGGATGTCAGACACTGATGAACATGATGAGTATGAGGAGGAGGAGGAGGAGGAGGAAACTCTGGGAGAGGTACGTTTTTTTTTTCTACTTATTGTTCAAACCGAACTACCACTATCTCATTTATTTATTT